AGGAAAATGAACATCTATGTGCACAAAGATATGTACATAACTGCCTACAACAGCGTTGGTTTTTTGGATATTTTTTTTTTTTTTGCTTTTGCTTGTTGTTTGTTATCAGTTTTTTTGAGACAGGGTCTCCCTGAAGCCACAGCTGGCCTGGAACTCCCTGTGTAGGCCAGGTTGACCTTGATCTCACAGAGATCCACCTGCCTCTTCCTTATGAGTGAGTGCTGGGAGTGAAAGGCATGTGCTAAAATGCCCTGCTCAGTAGATTCATTTTTAAGTCACAAACTGGACGAAACTATTCCTTCAATCAAATTCTGTATAGCAAAGCAAAGAATACAGTACCCAAAACAATGAGAATAAATCACGAAGCCTTGTTTAAAATAAAAATGCAAATACAGTACAGGCTTCACTCTGTATTTTTTATTTGCTACATTCTGGAAAAACCGGGTTGATATTTGCCATGACCTTGGATAGTTGTGGGACGATGACATGGCAGGAGTGGAAGAGAACTTTTGGGGGTTACAAAAGTGTTCTCTATCTTAGTTAAAATAATGACTACACAATTTGTATACATTTGACGAAGGTCATAGGAAAAATTGACTACCTTTAATTTTATGTTTAACAATTCTTAAGATAAAAATGTTGATTAATTTAAAAACACATTTTTTTCTGTCTTTTTGAGACAGGATCTTCCTGTTGTGGGGCTGGCCTGGAACTCCCTATGTAGATCAGGCTGACCTTGAACTCACAGACATCTGCCTGCCTCTGCCTCCTAAGTGCTGGGATTAAAGGCATGCACCAGCACACACAACTAAAAACACACATTTGAAATGCTTAAGTATAGTTGTAAAATATTTTAGACAATGAATAAAATATAGTTGTACAATAAGCAGTATAATTGTGTGGTATTTTAATAAAAAGACAACAGATATTCATGTGAAATCTACACATTTCTTTTTAAAATTTTTACCAGAGAAGCTTTGACTTGTTTATTTCTCAGACTGTAGATAATTGGATTTAGCACAGGAATGACTACTGTATAAAACAGAGAGTCCATCATATCTTGACTAACTACTTGTTGAGATGCAGGGCGCACATACATGAAGAGAAGAGAGCCATAATATAAAGACACAGACAAGAGATGGGCTCCACAGGTGGAGAAGGCCTTCCTTATGCCTTTTATAGATTTCTGTTTTAAGGCTGAAAAGAGAACAAGTGTGTAAGAGAGAAGAATAGTGAAAACACTGAATACCTGAATTAAACCAGAGAAAATCAAAACCATTAGAAAATTGAGAGAAGTATCAGAACAGGAAATCTTTAACAATGGCATAACATCACAGTAAAAGTGATATATTATATTGGAATTACAGAAGGTTAATCTGAGTAACAAACCTTCATGAATTAAACCATGGAGTAGTCCCCCAACAAAGGACAAGATTAACAGATGGACACAGAGTCTATTAGTCATAACCACTGGGTAGAGTAAAGGTTTGCATATGGCTGCATAGCGATCATAGGCCATCGCTGCTAAGAGGAAACATTCTATGGTTGCACTAGATCCAAATGAAAACAATTGCACCATGCATTCGGGCAGAGAGATCAGTTTACTTTGAGCAAAAATGTTCGCTAGCATCTTTGGTGTCACTGTGGATGACAACCAAGCATCCACAAGGGCTAAACTCCCAAGGAATAAATACATGGGAATGTGAAATTGAGGGTCATTCCAAATCAGAGTGATCAGACCAAGGTTCCCCACAATGGTAATGATATAGATCATCAAAAACAGCAGGAAAAGGGGGATTTTCCACTGTGGTTGGTATGTGAGTCCTGTGAGAACAAACTCTGTCCATAGTGTTGCATTCTCCCTTCCCATGTTCTCACTGGATGTCCCCTGGAATGAAAAACATTGAATGTCAGACAACACTCACTAAGGATTTTAAAAGCGTGATTTAGCAAAGTGAAATTGAAATTCAACCATATTTTTACAAGAATGACCTTTTAATTTTATTTAATATAACTATACTAGTTCCAACACTTTTATTTTGTTTTTGAGAAAAGGTCTCCTAGTAGCCCCAGATTGCCTACTATATAGACCAGGGTGGCCTCAATTTTACAGAGATCCACTTGTTTCTGCCTGCTTCCAGAGTGCTGGGATCAAAGATGTATTTCACTATGCCTTGCTAATACTTGGAAACTTCTGTTGAGAATGAAATGACTTAACTTCATTATTTGAAAGAAAAAGGCCAATGTGCTAATAGATTTCTAGAAAACAAGATTTCTTCTAAACGTGTGAAATGTGTGGAGACCTATTGCTTTGGTAGGATGATTCTGTATCAAAGTTCAGAATAAACAGATAATTTAGGGCCTGAAATATAAAGTGAGCTATGGGACTGGAGAGATGGCTCAGCAGGTAAGAGCACTATCTGCTCTTATAGAGGACCCAAGTTCAGTTCCAAGCACCCACATGGCTGCGATCAACCATCTCTAACTCCAGTTCCAGGGAATCCAATATCTACTTCTGGCCTCTGAGTGCATTACACATATGTAGTGCAAGTGTGTACATGTAAGCAAAATACCCATGCATATAAAGCAAAAACTAAATTAATAAAAAGAAAATGAGCTGAATGTTCTTAGTTGACTACAATATCCTGACTAATCTGATGAAAACTTACAATAGATATTGACCAAGGAAAATACTCAAAATTAATTTTAAATAATTTTACAGTAATGGATAAAATAGGCTTTGAGAAGAAACCATAGTCAGCAATATTAGAATGTTCTTATTGTAGTCATAGATTCACAAAGAAGATACATAAGAGTTGTCTAGGAACATTTGTGTCAAATGTAGAATATGAACCAAAACTATAGAAATTGACTCAGTAATATAAACAAGTTTCTAGTGGTCTACTTTTAGAAAACTTCCCCATGAAAGATTCAGTCACATTGAAAGGTGAGACTCTCAGTAAGCTGACCAGGCTCCACTGAACAAACCAATACCAAAGGGCATTTGCAACACAAACCTAACTCTATTAGCCATTGTCTATCCACCTATAAATTTATTCATCTATCTATACATCCATTTATCTATCTATCTATCTATCTATCTATCTATCTATCATCTATCATCATCTATCTATCTATTTATCTATCATCTATCTATCTATAATTAGTATATACATAAATATTATGTATATTAGGGTAAAGAAATTTGAAGGGGGCTTGAAAAAGAAGTGCAAATACAAGAGGGATCTAAATGTAATCAAAATACATTGCATGAAGATTTCAAAAACTCAGTAAAAATTGTATTTGAAAAAGCTTCCCCATGTGATTTTAAATGTAACAGGACGTTGGGGATGATTAAGAGAGCGAAATGATAAGTCACAAAGAATTCATAGTATAAAGCTACTGCTCTGCAGGGACATACGGAATGTGAATTGAATGTTTAGTGAAAAGGGAAAATTTTCCTGTTCACTGTGGGTCTTTTAAGTTGAGCTTAAGAGTTTAGGCACACTTTCATCATTGCAGAATCTGCAGAGGACAGGTAATTAGTAGTAATAATCTACCAAGTCTTACTAATAATGATGATGTGTCACTCTCTTCCTTTCCTGCTAATTTTCCATCTAATTTCTTTAATCTCCACAAGAGTTTCCATGGTAGAGCCAGTCTCCTTTCAACAGAATTATTTCCTGTTGCAATTAAGATCCCATTTGGCCCTAAAGAGAATCAAGGGTTGTTTTCTGAACTCATATCCTTGATCCATGGTTTGGCAGTAAGCTTGTTTTCCCTTTTCCTTTTCTTTATCTGGTTTTCAGGTACTGGGCAAAAGTCTGAGGCTGTTTTCCCTGACACTCTGATCTTTCTGTTTCTTAGACTTCCATACCTAACCTAAAAGCTATGACTTTTTCCTCTATGTTCCTGCTCCTGATACCTGCTGGGATTTTCATTATGCCTGTCTTGTTTTTTTTCACAAATGTTAATAAAATTGTCCCCATGCTTAAAAAGAAAAAGATAATGAACAGAACTTAACTGAATACTTTAAAGTAACGATCCTTGAGATTAAAAAATAATGGGAATAAAAAAGTAAGTTCAGGCTGGACATGGTGGTACATGTGTTTAATCCCAGCTCTCAGGATGCAGAGGCAGGTAGAGATCTGTGAGATCAAGGCCAACCTGGTCTACATAATGAGTTCCAGGCCAACTGCGGCTACAGGGAGACCCTGTCTCAAAAAAGCTTTAAAAAAAAGTACAATTGGCTATGAATCCCTGAGTGCTTAAAATTATGAATTCTTTGTTAGGTTTGGTGAAAACAGTTTCCTGAGTGCAGTAGGGCTGATGTCAGGAAATAATGGGAAAGAAATAGCAGCACAAAGAAGGAATGTTGTGAGTATTCTAAGAAATGGAGAGAACAGGAGAGCAGTTGGTCTGTGTCCAGTGCTGCTACTACTGTGTTCTTTTACCTGTCAACATTAAGTGTTTCAACTTAGGATAAGTGAGTGGAAAGCAAAGGAAGGCATTAAGATGAAACAAAGTATAGGAAAGAAAATTAAAAATAATTTTGAATGAATGAAAGCAAATAAAAGAGAGAAAGAGGAGGCAGTGTGAAACAATGACACCGATGGATACACATAGGAGAATGCAAAAAAGGAAAAGAACATTAGAGGACTTAGAATAAAAAAAGAGAAAGTTTTTGTTGACTTGAGAGTCAATGTACATCTTAACCTTGGTGCTTGCTCACTACTTCCACTTCTGATTTTTAAATACATTTTCATCTAGTATGAATCAATCATAAAGTCTCACACCTAGCTGAGGAGCTATTGGTGATTGATGGCTGCTGGGGGAGGAAGAGCCATTAGATTCAGCCCCTGATAGGCTGACCATGTTCCATGGACTGGCCTAACACTGGTGTACACACTATCAGCACTAAATGAACACCATGGATTTGAAAACGAAAACATGAAAATGGGAGGAAAAAGGGGTGTGTGAGGAGTTGGAGGTGAGTATGTGTGGGGTGGATTTGATCAAACACATTATACTCATATAAAATTCTCAAATAATAAAATATTAAAGTAAATAAATTATAAATTCTCAAATTTCTAGGCATGTGGATATATAATTTAAATGTAAGGAGGAATCAGGGAGAAATATTCTCTGCATATTTCCTATACATATCTACATATGTGTAACATATGCATATAAAAATGAAATAACCTGTGAAACATATTCAATACCTATAATGTGCTCCATATATTCAAACATATTATGTAAACTTGAATACACACATATTATCTAAAAAGTTTTTGTAGATGTAGAGGGTTCTATAGACTAGTGAATATTTAATTAACTCACATTGAAAGATTTAGTCAGAGAATGTGATTAAACATGACAATCGTTTTAGTGAAATCATTAGAGTAATTGTTTATATAAGAACCATTATGGACTTGGATCTTTAAGCTCAATTTTATTAACGAGCTCATGAGACCTTATGTGTCATTACAATTAGAATAAAATGCAAAAAATCATCATGGAAAAGAACAAGTCAAATTATTTTTCTTATTCAAATTTAGCCATGAAAAGAAAAATACTGATAATTCTTTGATGGTGTTATCTTCAATTATACACACTTATGCAGAATCCAAAGCCAAATAGAACATTATTGAGAAATAAAGAAGAGTTTTATCATTCTACGAAAAGCATGGATAATTTAATAGAACTCGTCTCTCTCTTACCCATATCTTGAAAGAAATTGCAGAGATCCTTGAGAAGTGCTGGTCTTTCTAAAGCTGAGAGGAGCACAAGAGTACAGGAATGCAGTAATATAGGTAGAAAGATTTTCATGTTGATTAATTTGGATGCTTCACTGCCTGAGCATAGGAAATATTGTTTATATGAATTTTCCTTCAACACAAGGATCAACCAGTTATACACACTTGCTTCCAGAAGAGAAAATATTGGAGAATTGAAATTCTCTGGAGAACTCAGAGTTCTCTGGAGAACAAGGTGAAGCTGCTGTGTTAGGAAATGAAGATTTGGATCCCTATGAGAGGACTAAATTGGTCCCATGGGACATCACACACTGGAAAACAATAAATATCCAATATAGTAAAAGATTCTAATTTTAACAATTGCCAATATACTTTATGCTACTTCCATCACAGATGACACTTCTCATGGGTTTAGACAAAATGATACAAATTTCTTACTCTGTGGGCTTAGATTAGTTAGGTTTTTGTTGAGCTAATCAGCACATGACATTAATATAGCTGATAACATTGATCCCACTTCTTGAACTGTGGGTTGTGATGTGGGTGTTTCATGGGATCATGAAATAGTCGGCTTAACAACAAAAATGTTTTTAAACAAATATCAAATATCTCTGAAGTGTTTCTGGCATTTCTGGCCATACTTGTCCATGTTTTGTTGAGATTTCACTGTAGCCTTGGTTCTGAACAAACAACATTTGCATTTTACACTACAAATGAAGCTATAGTATGCATTGCCAACAAAATGAAGCAAGTTGATCCAGATTCCAGGTTATTCATTATTGTGAAAGAATGTTTTTATTTTGTTTGCAAAATTTTAAGCTCTTTATAATTGAATTCTTGTGAACTTCATACAATATATTTCAAACATATTTAACCTCTTCTATCTGCACCCCTCTTATAGGCCCCTCTGCCAGATTTTTTGTACTCTTGTCATATGTATTAAGACCTATCAAGTCAAGTCTGTGTCCCCAAGTGCCATTTGGTGTGGGTGCATTCACTGGAGCCTGGTTAACCTATCTAGCATCACATTTTTTAAGAAAACCTACTCCCTCTCTGACAGCAGTTATCAGTGTCAGTAGTTCCACTTCTAAGTTTTGGGTTTCTTACCTACTTCCCC